TTCACTGGTCGCGACGCGACCGCAGACGCTAGCGAATCGCGCGATTCGCAAAGTCTGACGTCGGCCGAAGCGTGCCGCTTACAGGGCGAACTGGGGGTCGACATTCCTACCAGTGAACTGTCGAGATTGAGCCTCACTATGATGGACTTACAATTAGTGGTGTGTAATTCTCAGGTTTAGGCGAATGTCATTACTTCAAGCCGTAGGTGACACAACCTCGGCGCTTGTAGTGCATAGTGCTAAAAACAATATTATATTAGAAACCTTACCTGGAGATTATCGCAGTGAGTGGCTTCTTCTCGCATCTTACAAGCGTTGGCACATGAAAGGTTTGCGGTGCTCACTCAGTTGGGGAGGAGGACCATGCGGCGGCACAGCGCTGTATGCGACTGTACCTCTAAGGCCGATGTCAGACTTTGCGAATCGCGCGATTCGCTAGCGTCCGCGGTCGCGTTGCGGTACCAGCCAATTGAGTGATTCACTGGCCGCGACGCGACCGCAGACGCTAGCGAATCGCGCGATTCGCAAAGTCTGACATCGGCCTAAGGCTGCGTCAGAGCGCGATCCGTTGCAGGTTTCGCGCGATTCGCGAAATCGCAAAAATTGCAAGTGCCCCATTTGAACATTTGAAACACTGAATATGAAACAAGTAGATCATGAACAGTCGTCATTCAGCCATCACCATCAAGCAGAAATGGCGGCGGGATTGGAGAGCACCTTGCAGTATTGATCGGGCACTTGTGATTTCTGTGATCCGTCGCGCGAATCGCGCGAAACCTGCGACGGATCGCGGACTCGGACACTAGCCTAAGGCCCAGTCTGTGATGCCACTGTCTTCGAGACTGTCATGGTGCGGCGAAATACTAACAGCCTCATGACTAAGCCTTAGAGGTGCAGATGAACAGAGCGAAGCGCCGTGGTCACCATCCCCCCCCCCACTAAAATGGCACCAGGTTTGCTCCCTTGAAAGTGTGTACGCCTCTACTACAATATTCGAGTCTTTTCTCCCTTACGGGACGCGATTCGTTCCGTCGACAAGGTTAGAGCGCTACTTTCTCTTCGACGAGTATGAAACGCTGCCGTCACGCGAAGGGTGACAGCTGTACAACGGCGCATGGGGCCGTATCCTACCCTTCGCCCAGGGGCGCGTCCCGCCGCTGATTCTATCCTATGGTTGAGGCAGACAGGGTTGCGTTATAGGACCCAGCACTGAGCGCGTGATGTTGTAGCATGTTGAGGCACTGCCTTGTCTGAGGGGTCGTACTTTGAAGTGAATAACTATAGAAGGCTGTTTCTTCGAAAAAACTTTCTCAAGTCGCATTTCTCATGTCTGCTCTATGCTGGTTTGTTCAGTAAGTATATGTTTACAATGGCTATAAGAAAGACGTTATAAATTCAACTGAACTCGTAAACTTTCCTTCCGATATTATTTCTTTTTTTTCAGGATGGCCCGCCTAAAGCAAACGCTACCGGGCTCTGTCAGGCCTCAAACCGCCATTAAAAAACAACCAATACCACTGAATCGGAAGCTCGAAACGAAGCGCCAGTTGAGGAGTGACAAGGACGAGTCGTCTGCGGTGATAAAAGCCAAGAAACGTTCCAGTGAGTGTCTATCTGATTTCCTATATTCATTTCATTTTTGATCTTTCTTTTCACTCGTTTTCGTTTCATGATCTTGCAAGGGACGGCGCTTTGGTTAATTACTCGAGGCTTTCATCGTCAGTCCTGAATCTAACGTTAGCACAGCACTAGATAGTTGCTCGACCGATCCGATCCGTTATTTTTATCTAATGTTGTGCGATCGTTACGATTAGACGATCGACTATGAAGGCGCCCTACGCTCCCGACTTTTCGAAGCACTTCCACTCTTCAGAGGGCAGAGTGTTCCTACAGTGCCGAGAAAAGTGGCGGGGAGGTGGGCGGCAGCCTCAGCTTTGGAGTCGGTCCTGTGGCGTGATCTGCTATTGACCTCTGCAAGTCGAAGTCTATTTATAGGGTAACAATTTGTGTTACATTTTTCAGCGCAGCCACCATAGCTCTCTCGCGAATCCCTCTCCTCTCCAAGGCTTAGTCCTATGTCCTTCACCCGTTCTCTGATCGTCTGTGCTATAGCCATCGCGGCAGGACCATTGAGGAAAAATCAAGTAGTCCGTAAACCCTCCCAGACTGCCTTCACTCCCCCTGGCTCACGGGGTCCCGTACTTCGAGAAACCTGTGCGCCAGGGGGAGTGTAGGCAGTCTAGGGGGTGGGGGTGAGGGCAGCCACTTGATGCCCCCCTTACTGGATGAGACCCGAGTGCTTCATAAGTGGAGGGTAGCCGCGCTGCTCTAACTGTCTGGCAGGTAGAAACACAGAGGTATGCTAGGTCCTATGACGCAACCCTTTTTTGTCCCCCCAGAGGATTGAATCAGAGGAGGGGGATATATCCCCCTGGGGGAAGGATTGACAGGACTAAGCCTTGGAGAGCACAGACGAAGAGACGCCGCGCCGCCACATGCCCCCCCTCGACTACGCTAGCACCTTTTTTTCCTTTTTCTTTCATTATCGTTCAACTTTTCACCTACAACTTTATTATCGGTGGTTTTTGCCCGCGAATTCGTTCTTGGATTGTTGCTTCAACTGAAGGCGAGCAGATGCTTTGGGTTAGCTATCAGTCATATCTGAAATTTGGAATGTGCTGAGTTGCCTGTGTTTGTGACATAACAGAACGCAGGCATGAGCAGAAATTGACGTGTTCGGACGTCGGTGAGCTCGGTTCAAGCACACAACGTGTATGTACTTCTGACACGCCCATTGGCTATTCCAACGATTCCGCTGGTCATGTAATCACAGTGGCTCCAAGTTTCTGGAGGAACTTTCAAACGAACGCACAAGAACCAGGGTCTGCGCTTCTGCTAATTCTAGTCCCGAGTTTAGTCCCATTTGGAAGACATTTCAGAGGGTGTTGCTCCACAGATATTTACATTCGACATATACTCATATTTTTCTTCATTGAAATTATTGTTTCAACTGTTCAGATGCTTTGCATAGTGAAACTTCAAAAGGGATCTTTTTTGCATGCAGGGCCCGGTGTGAAAGCGCTGAAAGAGATTCGTCATCTACAACGCACGACCGAACTGCTCATTCCCCGTTTGTCGTTCCAGAGAGTTGTGCGAGATATCGCCAACAAAGTAAGTTTCTCATCCCCAATGTTCGTGTTATATCTGGTTCCCATGGTTTCACTTTTAAGATCACTGCGGAGAGAGGAATCAAAGAGGATTACAGGTGGCAATCCAACGCTTTGCTGGCTCTCCAGGTGTGCTCTGATCAGTTTAACGTTTCAATACATACTTTTAACATTGGAGTAAGGTAACATGGGTGTGGTTCACTAGGACAGAAAGCGACTTTTTTTTGCGTTTCGCAGCGCGAAACATTTTTCGCTGCGGGAACCTCAGGTCCACCGCTGATCATCAGTGGACCCGAGGTTCCCGCAGCGAAAAATCAGTGGACCGAGGTTCCCACAGCGAAGAATGTTTCGCGCTGCGAAACGCGAAAAAGTCGCTTTCTGTTCTAGAACCACATAAAGGTAACATTGGGGACATCAAGAGCTCAATAGAATGACTGTGAAAGCTCCGGTTCCTCATACACGCTCGAGTTATTACCGAATACTGCGTATTGTGGTATCTTTACTGTGATCAAGGAAACGTTTTCGTTTTAGGAAGCGGCGGAAGTTTATCTTACATGCCTTTTTGGAGACACCAATCTAGCTGCTATTCATGCTCGGAGGGTGACCATAATGAACAGGGACATCGAACTGGTCCGTAGGATCCGTGGAGAAAAATGACGAGGGTTCTTTCTGGACTCGGCTCCCCCACTTTCTTCACGATTTGGGGCGCGGCCGCGGCGAGCGCGGACGAGTCGATAGTGCCCGCGAACTGTGCTGTGGAGCGTTTTCAAACTACCCGCACAGTTCGCGGGCACTACCAACTCGTCCGCGCTCGCCGCGGCCGCGCCCCAAATCGTGAAGAAAGTGGAGGGAGCTTTAGGACTCCTGGGTTGTTGTAAAATGATCTAAATCTGTACAGTTACTTCAATTGTAATCATATCAGCTGCACTGTATTTATACGTCTCTGTTTTATCCTGCAAATCTCTTTGTTTGGATACACGTTAACTATTACTATTTGTATTATTCGAAAATAATAATCATATTATTTCTATGGTAATAATAATCATATTATTTCTATGGTGTTTCATTGCTAATAAACTATTGATAATAAGTGGGTAGTTGTACAGTTTTAGCTTGTAATAATTATTGCAAGTACAGAGAAATCGGCAACGGTGATTCGGCCTCAAAGGCTTGAAAGCAGCTAAAGAGGGATTGCTGCTCACCATAACTTTTTCATTCTTTCTAATATTTTTTAGAAGGTTCTGCTTAGCCGAATTTCGGCTATGATCTACACCTGGCATGTCGTTTTATTTCAGAGCAGGTAAAACTGGGTATCAAATGTAGCCATCATTCAGCTTGGACTAACTGGTTTGGTAAATATACAGGTGAGGGCAACCTTGAATGTCTTAAAGACACCTTCCGAGACTAGGATGTTAGAGTATCACCTGTATCACCTGTCGTCCCGTTGATCATCGAATTGCTCGAGCGGGCGCCAGCAACGTCTCCATTCGTCCCTGTCGCGTGCAAGAGTTGTCCAGTGGACCCTCCTCGCTCGAGGGACACGATGTCCTTCATTCCTTTCGTTCAGAGCTTTCGTGAATATTATAGGATGCTAGAGTAACCCACCTAATTAATTGAGCAGTTGGATCGGCACCTGCAGAATGGCGCTTTAACGGCTCAGAAATGCACGTCAAGGAGCTAACCAGGAAGGTCTTTCAGGGCGTGCCAAGCTTTTTGAAAACGGTCTTTTGCATGATATAGGGGCACATGCGGGAACCACAGAACCATGGTTAATTTTTCCTGAACGGCCCTCTGAATACCAGAAAAGGGGGTCCCTAGTTCGATTCCTCGTGGTGACAAATTTTTGCATTTCGAGTTGACGTTCCAAAATTCGCGCAAAATGGAGTTAGCATGAATAATTAGTACCATATTCATGATTAGGACCGTCAGTAACCCTTACAAATAGACTGACTTAATTAACACGTTGAGGACCGTGTGGTATGATGTCATACCACACTTTCACATGGAGCAGACTAGTTTTCCTTAATTTATTTGGCGTTTTTTTCCTGTTCCACAACGGTCCATGTACATTATTGGATCCGAAAAACAATTTTCATTACCGGTAATGAAAACGCCGAAGGATTAATGCCTATTTATGAGTAAATAAAATAAAGGATAAAGCATTTGCCGTTGATCAATCCCTTTTTGGGATGCGGCACGCATTCTACTTCCATTTGTACATTCGTAGTGGCGTTTGAATGCGATGTGGCCTATACAATGACTTGCGGGGGCCAGCCGATGTACAAGTCAGTGTTTTTTTTATCCTCCCAGACAAGTCTGGTACCAATTAACCGACCCCGGAGGGATGGAAGGCTTGGTTGGCGACCCAGGATTTGATCCCCGGACCGCTCGCGTGGTAAGCGTGCCACTTGCCACTACACCACTTCCGCCCCCTATTTATGAGAGAATACGAAAAATGTTGAAGCAGTACGCACACAACGGCGGTCGTCAACGTGTTAAAAATGGTGTAAGAGGTGTGACACCAAGCAGCCCCACTGTGGTGTCACACCTTTTTCACCAGTTTTTAATCAAAGTCTATTTGTAAGGGTTACTGACGGTCCTAATCATGAATATGGTACTAATTATTCATGCTAACTCCATTTTGCGCGAATTTTGGAAACGTCAACTCGAAATGCAAAAATTTGTCACCACGAGGAATCGAACTAGGGACCCCCTTTTCTGGTATTCAGAGGGCCGTTCAGGAAAAATGAACCATGGTTCTGTGGTTCCCGCATGTGCCCCTATATCATGCAAAAGACCGTTTTCAAAAAGCTTGGCACGCCCTGAAAGACCTTCCTGGTAAGGCCTCGTTTACTTGGTTGCGAGTGGTTGCGGCTATGCGACGCCTTGACAGCGGAGGGTTCACGCCCTTTTGTCGGATATACTCCTTCGCTTGCTCTCTTTGCACAAAGTGATCCCGCTCAGCTCAGTTCGCTTCGCTCAGAAAAGCAAGGCCTACTTCAGTCGACTGACTCTCACTTTGAGCGCAAAACCGGCACCTAGCGATCGCAGGCCCTGCACTTTAGCAGAGGTACGCATGCATATCAGATGATAGATCCATCCCAACCTCCCAAAAAGGAATTGTTTCAGTGAATTTGTAAAACCAATTAAT